TCGCCTCTGGAAAGCACTCTTAGACAGTGAAACCAGCCATTGGGCTCCCCAGGAAAAGAGTACCACAGCTCCTGCCTAGATGTCCCCTGAAGGCAGCCTAAATGTCCCCTAAATGTTTCCATGTCCCCTGAAGGCCTGGCACTGCACCTGCCCCTAAGCTTCTCACTGGAGAACTGCCCTCCAGAGCTCCTCATAGGAAAGAATAGTCCCCTCTCAGAGGTCCTCTAGGGTAAGAAGACCTGGACCTACTTTCTGATCAGGGCACCCTGGCCTTAGAGCTCCTTAGGGGACAGTAATCTGAGCATTGGAGCAGCTCACCCCTCTGCACTCCCTGAGTGAAAAGCAGCTACTGCCTGTGACTGAGGCAACCACCAACAGACTAGGTGGGAGAAAGGGATCCCCCCTCCCTGCAGCCAGCAAAAATTTACAAACAAACAAATGAATAATTCCCAGAAAGCCTCAAACTAAAAAAAACTGAAATAAGCACTAAAAATTTTTTTATGAATTGGACAAAAAAATTATACACCCACTTACAGGTGAACAAGACCTCATATAGATCTAACCAGATGATAAGTTCTCCAAGGCACAACATAATCAAAATGCCCAACATAAAAAATAAGGAAGAACATTAAAAGCTGCAAGAGAGAAACAACAAGTCACATTTGGAGGCAAACCAAATAGACTCACTTCAAATTTCTGTACTCAGACCATAAAACCAAGGAAGGCATGGAATAACATTTTTCAAACTCTAAAAGAAAACAATTGCCAACCGAGATTGCTGTACCCAGAACAGCTCTCTTTCATATTTGATGGGGAATTAAAAACCTTCCATGACAACGATAAACTAAAAGATATAAAACAAATAAGCTGGCACTACAAGGAATACTCAAAGATAAATTGTACACAGAATATCTCAATAAGAGAATCCAAAACCCCCAAGTAAATGAAAATCAAGCAATGACCAATCATCTAAATGAGAACCAAGGCAGGATTAAATACAACAACAAAAATCAAATAGCAGCAAACCACAAACATATATCCATAATAACACTGAATATAAGTGGTCTCAATTCTTCAATTAAGACATAGATTAGAAAAATTTATCAAAAAACAAGATTCAACTATATCTATATGCTGTTTGCAAAAGATTCATCTCAGGTAAGTGCATTCATGGACTGAATGTAAAAGGCTGGAAAAAGTACTCCATGCAAATGAACTACAAAAACAGGCTAAGGTAGCCATTCTCATATTTGACAAAGCTGATTTCAAGCAAAAATTAGTCCAAAGAGACAAAGAGAGCCATTACATCCTGGTTTAGGAAACAATTCAACAAGAAGAAATAATGATAGCTAATATATATGCCCTAGATGTCAAGGTACCCAAATACATTAAAAAAAAATACTCCTTGACATTAAATTCCAGATAAACCCCAATACAATAATACTGGGAGACTTCAACACACCCTTATCATCAAGACAGGTCAACAAAGCATAAAATAAATAAAGATATATCCAACCTAAATATTACTATAAGTCAAATGGAATTAATAGACATCTACAGAATATTTTACCCCAGAACAGCTGAATGTACCAACTTCTCAGCACCTCATTTAACCTTCTCCAAAATAGACCACAATCCAGGTCACAATGTAAGTCTAAGAAAATACAAAAAAAAAATGATATGATCCATGCCTTGTGACAGATCATAGTGAAATGAAACTAGAAATCAACAGCAAGAAAAATAATAGAAACCACACAAACACATGGAGGTTAAACAATAATCTCTTAAAACTAAAAATGGATCAAAGTAGAAATGAGAGAAAAAAAACAAGAAATTCTTATAAACAAATGAAAGCAAAGATATAACATACAAATATCTCTGGGACAATATGCAAGTAATACTAAGATGAAAATTTATTGCATTGAATGCATACATTAAAAATATAGAGAGACCCCAAATAAATAAACTTATGCTCCATTTCAAGGCCTTAGGAAAAGAAAAACAGGTAGAATGTATACAATATATATTGTCTAGCCAAAAAAAAAGTTATACAACATAATTTAGAGTGAAAATATTTTTATACATGCTCCACATACATAAGTACAAAGTAGCTTTTCTATACTTCAACAACAATTTGCCTGAGAAAGAAATCAGAAAAAAACCATCCCCTTCACAATAAAAATAAAATAAAATATTTAAAAAATAAAATAAAATATCTGGTAATTAATTTAATCAGGAAATTGAAAGAACCAAACAATGAAAGCTATAGAACACTCAAGAAAGAAATTGAAGAAGATCTCAGAAAATAGAAAGATCTCCCATATTCTTGGATAAGCAGAATTAATATAATCAAAATGACCATACTACCAAAAGCAATATACAAATTCAATGCAATCCCCATCAAAATAACAATTACATTCTTCATGGAACTAGAAAAATCAGACCTTAAATTCATCTGAAAAAATAAGAAAACTAGAATAGCCAAGACAATTTTAAAAACTGATGCAGGAAGCATCATAAACCCAATATAAAATTATTCTAGTTAGCTATAGTAACAAAAACAGCATGCTATGACATCAAAATATACTTGAAGACCAATAAAATAGAAGACTTCAAGACAAGCTCAAATACTTACAGCATATGATTCTTAGTAAAGGTGCCAAAAATGCAGAAAACTGGTTATCCACATTTATTGTATTTTTTTAATCATTCAGAAATTTTTTAAATTTGTTGTTATTAGTTACACATGATAGTAGAATGTATTTTGAGATATTATACATATATGGAATATAACTTCCCATTCTTCTGGTTGTACATGACGTGGAATTACATTGGCTATGTATTCATATATGTACATAGGAACATAATGTCTGATTCATTCTGCTATCTTTCTCATTCCCCCTTTTCCCTTCATTCCCCTTTGTCTAATCCAAAGTACTTCTTATGCCCCCACCACCACTTATTGTGATGTATTAGCATCAGCATATCAGAGAGAACATTTGGCATTTGGGGGTGTGGATTGGCTTATTTACGTAGCATGATATTCTCCAGTTCCATCAATTAACCAGCAAATGCCATAATTTCATTTCTCTTTATGGCTGAGTAATATTTTCATTATGTATATATACCACATTTTTTATACATTTATCTGTTGAAGGTCACCTAGACTGGGTTCCATAGTTTAGCTATTTTGAATTGAGCTTCTATAAACATTGATATGGCTGCGTCACTGTAGTATGATGATTTTAAGTCCTTTAGGTCTAAACCGAGGAGTGGGATGACTGGATCAAATGGAGATTCCATTCCAAGTTTTCTATGGAGTCTCCATACTACTTTCCAGACTGGTTGCACTATTTGCAGGCCCACCGGCAATGTATGAGTGTACATTTCCCCCACATCCTCACCATCGTTTATTGTTACTTGTATTCTTGATTATTGCATTTCTGACTGGAAGAGAAAATCTTTGGCATCTGCACCTCAGAGCATTAATCTGCAGGATATATAAAGAACTCAAAAAACTTAACACCAAATAACAAAAACAAAAACAAAAAATACCCAGTTAATAAATGGGCAAAGGAATTGAACAAGCACTTCACAAAAAAAGAGAAACAATTGGTCAACAAATATATGAACAAATTTTCAACATCTCTAGCAGTTAGAGAAATGCAAAGATTCCGTCTCACTCTAGTCAGAATGACAATTATCAAGGATATCCATATTTAGAAGAAAGAAATTAGATATGAAATTAAATCCTTATCTCTCACCCTGCACAAAAATCAAATCAAATGGATCAAAGACTCAGGAATTAGACCAGAAAGCTTGCAACTGTTAGAGGAAAATATAGGGTCAGCACTCCATCATATGGTTTCAAGCAATGACATCCTCAGCAAAACCCCTGAAGCTCAAAAAATGAAACCAAGAACCAATAAGTGAAATATCATCAAACTAAAAAGCTTCTGCACATGAAAGGAAATAATCAAAAGAGTGAAGAGAGATCCTACAGAATGGGGGTGGAAATGTCTTGCCAGCCACTCCTCTGGCAGAGAATTAAAATCCAGAATATATAAAAAATTCAAAAACTCTATGCCCCAAAACAAATAATCCAATTAACAAATAGGCCAATGAAACTTCAACTAGGTCAAATACAAACTTCTCAAAAGAGGAAATGCAAATGGCTAACAAATATATTTTTTAAGTGTTCGATATCTCTAGCAATCAGGGGTATGCAAATCAAAACTACCCTGAGATTTCATCTCTACCCAATAAGAATGGTAATTATCAAGAATACAAACAATAATAAATGCTGGATAGGATGTGGGGAAAAGGATATATTCAGACATTATTGGTGGGACTGCAAATTAATTACAACCACTATAGAAAGTAATTGTAGATTCCTCAAAAAACTAGAAATGGAATGACCATATGGACCCAGGATTCTACTCAGTATTTGTCTAAAAGAACAAAAATGAGCATACTATAGCAATATAGCCACCACAATTAGCAGGCTAACAATTCATAATTGTCATATTATGGAACCAACCCAGATGTCCACCGGCAAATGAATAGATCAAGAAATTGTGGTATATATGCACAATGGAGTTTTACTCAGCCATAAAGAAAAATAAAATAAAGGCATTTGCTGGTAAATGGAGAAAAATTATGCTAAGTAAAATAAGCTAGACTCAGAAAATCAAGAGCCAAATGTTTTCTCTCATATTAGAAGCTATAGCAAAATAAGGGAAAGAAGGTGGCAGGAAATGAGATTGGAAAGGAGATAAATCAGTAAAGTAGATGGAAAAGACAAAGAAGGAAGGAGGAAAGAAGGTAAAGGGGTAGAAATATAGAATGAAATAAGCAATAGCTTGTTGTGCACATATATAAATGTACCAATCAAAAATAAATAAATAAAGGAGTGAGAGGAAGATCAATAGAAGAGACGTGAGAAAACACAGGGAGTTTTTGGCTCTGAAAGCATTATATGTGCACATGTCATTACTGACCTTCCCAGCAGTCTTTCCACATTCGCAAATCCATCTTTGGGATCTCACCACAACTCAGGTAGCCCTGTGGGTATTCCGCCTTCACAAAGACATCCGGCTGAACCTGCTGAATGTTGTCACCATTGTCGCAAAGCACACGGCCCAGTGACACCTGTTTCAGCTGAGTGAGTTGTGCAGGGGTAAAAACTCCAGGGTTTTCATACCAGAACCTGGTAGTTAACAGAAAAGACACAATTTCACGGGTCACTCAGGTGCATGTCCAACATCCACAGTGAGCCTTTGCTCCACAAAAAGAAAAAAGAAAAGAAAAAAATACAAAGCAGATCTAAGATCGTGTTTGTGCTCCAACTAAGTATACTTTTAATTCTTTCAAATATTTATAAAGCTGATCAACCCTATACTCTTCTGAATTATCACTCTCAAACTCAAGTTTTATAAGGTGATTCAAAGTTTTATAGAATTCTTATTTAAGAAAAAAAAAACATTTTTTTTTTAATTTAAACTTTATGAACTGGCCTTAGAAATTTTCCAAGAAACTTAAGATAAATGTGTTTGCCTAAAAAGTAAATATAAGTTTTTAAATTCCACATATACCCTTTGGTTCTATTTACCAACTAATTAGAATAAATGGATCCAATTTTAAATGAAAGGATGTAATTTAAAAGTGGACTGATACAGTGAGTCTTGTATTTGTTCATTCAATAAATATTTAAATACTAATGCCACGTGTGCTTTTTTCATACTGGTGTACAACAGTAAATTAAGATAGTAGGTGAAAAGACATTGCCCACTCAATTGAGTATCCATCAAAATTCATGTTAAAGTACTAAGCCCAGGTATTTTGAAAGATGACAATATTTGGAGACAAGACCTCTTTAAAGAAGGAACTGAAGTAAAACTAGTTTATATAGGTGGGTCCTAACCCAGTGTGGAGAGATGTAAAAATACAGAGAGACAGGTATTTGCAACCTGGGATGAAAGGCCCTAGTAAGAACCAACACTGCCAATCCTTGACCTGAGTTTTAAATTTCAGACTTGTGGTACTTTGTTACAGAAAATCCAGCAAACTAATACACTTAGGGAAGACAACTTACCCAAATATTGGCAGTTTCCCAGACTTTTCCAATGTTTGATTATATATATTTTTAAATTAATGCCAATGTATGTTTTTAAATTAATGCCTATTGAACATCTTATGCCAACTACATAAGGCAAGAAATACAGAGCATTAAAAATAATTTACAAAAACTAATTCAATAAAATATACTATTAATATTTGCCAATGTATAATAATTAAGGGAATTAAATCTTTTGCTACTTTTTTTGTGATATCACCCTTAAGTGGAAAAAATTTGGAAGAAAAATGTTAAGAATAATTTTTAGGGTAAATTTAATTAAAGTCTAGGCTATGTTTCAAGCTTTATATACATCATTTCTGTAATAATACAAAAAGTTGAATTATTAAACCAATTCACAAAAATCCTAAATCTTACTATTAAACTGTCTTAATGAATCAGAAGATACCATGTCTTGAAACATATTTGGTTCCAAGTGTCAGAAGAGTGATACACGAGCATTCAGGGGAGCTGCTTAGTAGGTTTGGATTTCTTAGCTTTTATATTGAGTCTTACGATGATAACAGAAATTGCCTGACTTACATTCTCCAGTCAGCTTTCTTCCATAATCTCATAAATTCAAGTTATTTTCTATAAATACTTTAGAGAAATCAGGAAATTTTAGAGAAGAGTCTCCAGTTATCTCTCCACTCAATGCCCTCGTTGTATGATTTTACAAAGAAGCTGGCCAATAATTCTCCTTCCATGAGACTGGAAGGAGGAGGCTCAGAACTGCTATCAACCTCTGCCCTCTCAATATCATTTAAGGATGCGGGGGTACTGCAGAACAGGCACCATAGTCACACACACTTTCCAGATGAGGAGCCTGGAATAGAGTCAGGTGTTGCCCAAAGTTAAACAGTTATAAGGAGTATTGCTCAATAGTAATTCTAACATGCATCCTCTCAACCACTGACTTCTGTGCCCTTCCAAGACATTCTATTTCTTTTCTTCTTACAAAGATTTACAAAAGAAATGCCATCTGGTATTATCAGTGGTCAGAGACCGTACCTACCTTTTATTTATTATATTTAATAAATTTTAAATCATAGAAAATATGGAATCACACAATAATATTATTTTACACATATATTTGGGAGCAAGAAAACAATTTTGATAAGCATAACAGATAATTCTTCACCTATCTCCATCTCTTAGCCGCTGAAACTGGGTAACAAAGAGGCACATAAGTGTCGGTCCCACTCTCGTACCAGGAATCAGGTCTTCAACCATCAGGGCGGGCCATAAATCAATGTCACCTGGGGTGCTGTACAACCTGGAACGACACAGGCAGATAGCACACATTGGAAGTAGTCCTTACATGAATGACTACTAAACCTTACTTTTAGTTCAGTCACACAAAATGGAAAGGAAAATATCATTATTATTACCATTTTACAGATAAAAACACTAAGGTGAAAAAAGGCATGCAGGAATCACCCAACTGACAGACAGGAAGCAGAGCTGTGATCTAACCAACAGAATTTAACACCAAAAATCACTCGTTGTGACATTCTTCAAAATTATCTCGTCAAACAATGAAATGTAAATATATTTTACATAGTTGTATGTATATCCATATATGTCAATATATACAACTAATTCTTTCAGAGGCAGTGGAAAATAAAAACACTGAACTATGAAAAGTTTCCATCTTAGTGTATATAATAGATATGTCAAAAACTCAGAATGAAAAATATTTTGTGGATCATAATTATCATATTTACTATAATAATAAATACATTAAAATGTTATTCTTACTATAGTTATTATAATAAATTATATAGAATGTATAATAGTATATAATATTTATAAATATAATTATAAATAATATATAGTATACATTCTATATAATAACATATTAGTGTGATCATTATTAGGTATTATTATAAGGTTATTATAATAATATATTTTTTCATTATTATTATACTTATATGATGAAATCATAAGCATTAAATAAATTGTCTTGTTAAAAAGTCAATGATCACTTGATCTAGAATTTGGAGCCATTTTTAAAACTAAATAACAAATAGACAAACAAGAATTACTTAATGCAAATAGTAATAATAAGCCAAATGGGCTTGGGCACATAACCAAAAAATTGATGTGGTTGCATCACTGTAGTAGGATGATTTTAAATCCTTTGGATATAAACCAATGAGTGGGGTAACTGAGTCAAATGGTGTTTCCATTCCAAGTTTTCTAAGGAATCTCCACACTGTTTTCCACAGTGGTTGCACCAGTTTGCAGTCCCACTAGCAATGTATGAGTGTACGTCTTTCCCCACATCCTCCCCAACATTTATTGTTACTTGTATTCTTGATAATTGCCATTCTGACTGGAGTGAGATAGTTTTAGTTTGCATTTCTTTAATTGCTAGAGATGTTGAACATTTTCTCTCTCTTTTTTTTTTTTTTTTTTGGACTATTTGTATTTCTCCTTCTGTGAAGAGCCTGTTCAGTTCCTTTGCCCATTTACTGATTGGGTAAAATATGAGCAATGTCCTACACTCCAAGTAGAAGCCACCTTGATTAAATTGTATTCCCTGTCTCCAAACAATAAACATGATACAAAGTTAGTCTGCTTTTTGCTTTACTTTATCTTTTTTACTGCAAGCAATGACTCACTACACTGTGTATGGTTTAACTTTGCATGTTTTAAACTTGGCACAAATAAAAATATGGTGCCCTTGCTTCCTTTTTTTTCTTTTTTAACTCAGTAAATTAGTCAGAGGTGCAATTGTGTTGTTGCACACCTCTGTACCTCCTTCATTTTCGCAACTGTATATTAAATAGTTCCTTACCGAAAACTATTCCAATTTAGTTTTCTACTCTACTGGTAATGAATACTGTGAAGTTTTCAGTTTAAGTGCTATGAACATTCTCACATGTTTCTTCAAATGTATAAGAGTATCTCTAGGCTAAGCACTGGTATTTTCTTTTACCATGGAGGTCCAGAGAGTAAATGTTTTCAGCTTTGTGGGACAATTGGTCTAGTTGCAACTACTCCTCCATTTTGCAGAAAAGCAGCCATAAACAACACAGAAACAAAGGGACACAACTGTGTTCCAATACAGCTTCACAAAATCAGTCAGTCAGTTAGATTTGGTGAACGGGCAGTGGTCTGTAGATATCTGCTTTGGAGATACTGATGTTAGAACCAGAGAAGATGGCTGCAGAGTACACCTTCAATTGTAAGACATAAGGTCAAAATGCTGTCCAAAATGGATGTGCAATTCATACTTTTATAATGAGCATATAGAATTTTTCTGTAATACACATCCTTGTGCATTCTTTTAATTTTCATAAATAATGCCAAAATGCTATCCAAAGTGGATGAAAAATTCACATTTCCACAATAGTCATATAGAAATTCTCTGTAATCTATTTCCTGGCAAAGTGACTCTCTTATCCTTTGGCACAACTTAATTTAGTCTTTATCTTTTTTTTTTTTTTTTTTTTTTTTAGTTAGACTCTAATATCCTCCTCCTTTTCTCCTCCCCTTTCCCTTCCTCACCCTCCTTCTCCTTCTTAGTTTCATCTTTCCATCTTTCTCTTCTTCAGCTTCTCTTTCTCTCCCTTTATCTTACATTTGGTTTCTTAATTTCTGACAACAGGTGCTTTTTTATATTTCCAAGCACTCGTTTGAATGCTGAAGTGCTTATTTAATTCAAGTTTTAATGTGAAATTGTTCTTTCCCAATGTTTCAGTTTTTTCTGGAAGATTTTTCCTCTGAAAATATTTACATTTGCTGGTGAAGGCGTTCCTGCACCCAATGTCTGACAGGGTCACAGCATTGGGGATGCTGTGGTGGGGCAGACCCATCTGGAAACCAGAACTATGAGGAATGTGTTAAGTGTTTTGTTTATGATATTCATGATATGGATAATAGGACATATGTCAATCAATGATAAAAGTATATATTGCCTGAGATTGCAGGAAAACTCCTAGAATTGTATCCTACTAAAAATACAATTGAGAAATGCCACGAGGTGTGTTTCAATATCTCTCAAGATACAAACAATAGTGTTATTCCTCAAGAAATTCACAGGAAAAAAGGATTGCAAATCTAGGTTCCTGAGAAAAGCTTAACAACTTACACTAAGCTCCCCACCCCACCTCCCCATTCTAAAGCCACAACCTGTATACAACATACATTCCCCCCACCAACAGACCCTCCTTTGCCTTACACAGGAATTTATGATGAGAATGGAAAACACATAATTAATATTAATGGCAAATGGGTTGAGGTGCAGAGCCTGCCCTTTAGTTAAAGATTACAAAGATATAAGAATTGGTGTGCTTTGACTGAGGATCATGGAAACTCTTTAAGAAAGCAGTTAAAATAGTTCATAGGAAAAAAGGATATTACCTTGGAAATTAAAAATAGAATAATGTAAAATTAATATAGATATATTTTAGAGGCACTTCAGAATAGTAGGCTTTTTAAGTAGTAGGCTTTCACTATTTCACGTGTGTTTTACTGGAACTTTAGTTTAGAAGTAAGAAAGCTTACCAATAATCAGAGGTATGCTTTAAAGTTAAAGATTAATGAAATAATTATAGGTATGCTTAAAGTTAGAAGTTAATAATAGGTCCAGAGACATGTAACCTAGCACCTAGTGATTGAGGTGAAAATATAAAAGCTTAATCATGATTGGCTAAGGTTATAGAAAAATATTTTAAACAATGTACTTAATATCTTAGGTAATCAATATATGTCAGAACTAAGATTGTAACTCTTGAAAATCATGTAAATCAAAGAAGTTTCAGACTTTGAGGCTATCCATTAACCACCTGGAAAAACAAAAAAAAAAAAAAGCCTGTAAAAAAGATATAAAAATAAAAGCCCCTCTAGGGGCAGCAGATTTTTTCTAGAGGCTGCTCCTCACTTGCAACCTGCCTTTTCTTTCACCAATGCCACTCCTCTAAGGACTTAAGAGTCCCCTGAATCCTGGCAATTTGCATTTATGTTTTATTGTTGCATGCCTTTATTTAACATTTGTCTGACCTCTTTTCATTCTGAAATATTTGTAAAATGAATTTCTCATTCGATAGCTTGTTCTTCAATCACTGTGGTGATGTACAACATTTTTAACGGCAATGTTAGTAGTGCAGTGAAGTAGGAATTGAAATGTTTTCTTTCTTTTTTTTTCCCCCATAGCATCTGTAATTTCACTTCATTCTGCTTTCAGATCAGAAGAGGTCACTATCTTTTCTCTACTCACTTCCTCTTTCATAAGTAAATGCTATCGCTGGACACTTTTGAGATTTGTAGCGGGCGCTGTGAACTTCTGGTTTCCACAGTTACTTTTGACAAAATGTTACTTGGTGTTGAACTTTTCCTTCTAGAGGAATTTTTTTCATCTAAGTTCTCTTCCCCTTTTCGTTGTCCGTGAAGATTTTTAAAGTACCCACTCCCTGAAAGCTCTAGAGTTGCAGGGGATGTAGAGTTCATGGGCAGTTCTGTTGCATATTGCTGAGTATTTTTAAACACAGTTATTTTGGAATTCACACCCTTCTGTCTCTGCTAATTCTGAAGGCACAGGTTGTGTGTTATTTTTTGTGCACCCTCTTTGCCGATCTTATAGTTTTGGAGGAGGAGGCTGTGTTGAAAGATTTAAAATCAAGAGAAAATCATTTTCCTATGTATAACCTGAAAATATGACTTTTTAAATATTTGTTAATCAATGGCTATGAAATTATGTTTTATTTAGATTTTGCATTTTTCAAGTTAATTATGTGATTGAGCACCTTCTACATATTGATTGGGAATCTAATTTTCAACTATTTTCTTATGTAAAAGTGCCTATTTACACTTCCTATCCATTTTTAATGGGGGCATAGTTTTCTTTCTTACTATCAGGAACTCTATAAATATATATTCTGGATGCTAATACTTTTTTATGTCCAAATGTATTTACTCCATATTCGTGCTGTTTTGGGTCACTCTCATTTATGTTGGGTTTTGATAAAAAAAATTCTTTAATTCTACAGTCAAGTTATAAATTTTTATGGTTATTATGTTTTATATCTTACTTAAAATTTCTTTCCTTACCCAGAACTGATTTTCATATGATATAAGAATTCATACTCTTTTTTATGGGCTAGGGTTATAGCTCAGTTGGTAGAGTGCTTGCCTTGCATGCACTTGTTTGCATAAGGCCCTGGGTTCAATCTGCAGCACCAGAAAACAAACAAACAAATAAATAAACCACTCTTTTTTTTTTTTGTCCCTGGAAAGAGAGCCAATTATTGTTGTATCACTTATCGACAT